AATGCTCGGGCCGAGGTGCGAGGGAGAGAAAACTTTCCGGGGCACTATTCTGACGGAAAACGTCTCGGAGACCTTCAGAGATGCGAGGTAAAGCGGAAGCGTTGCTGGCCCAGCGTCAGAGCTCGGGAAGGTCCTCGAAGCAAAGAGACGAAAGGTCTGAAATGGAAACAAGGGCAGTGCCCTGTGATCGTCTTCACCGGTACGCATCTTTCAGACTTCGATTCACACAAATACCGCGATTCCTCTCTAATTGAGACATCCCTTCCTTTATACATGATGAAGTCCTCAAGCTCGTTCGGAAGGTCATGGTGTTTCACGCTTTTGACATCGTCGAAGTCTGACCTCGAGTTCCCTGACACTATAAACAAGAATGACAAGATATCCTCCTTCGTGACACTGCACTCGACGTCAGACTTCAGGCACGTGCTCCATCTCCTATGGATGTGTTCCCTTTTGTCCACTTTTCATGTCGCTTCAAGGACCTTCTCGACTTCTGTTGCTGGGATGCAACAATGTCGCTGAAAAAGACGGACCTTGCATCTGTAAAGGTCTCCGAGACGTCTTCTTTCTCGGAATCGCGTTTCGGAAAGTTTATTCCTCCTTGCACATTGGCCCTAACACACAGCTGCCGAGCAAGATGCCGGTTGAGGTCACGTTCTTCTGTGGCATCCTCATCATCACCAGAGTACTCGTCCGTGTCGTAGGACGCCTCCGATGGTTTTACCAAGACGTCACCTCCATCAACATCGTCATCCACCACTAGAATGTCTAGAATTTGCGCCAAGGTGACTGGAAAACATATGGATTAGGGGCAAGTAATTGTGTAGGCTAATGTGAGAAACTGCCCACCGTATCATATATGATACGAATATGTTGTTATCATTCCTGACACGCCAGCTTTGGCGCAAGAATGTATTCAACCACCTGGTGTGTGAGCTTGAACATTTGGTACTATGCTGCCACAAAATTGAGCAGTTCGGCAGAAAGCACTAGTTAGCATACTAACGTCGGCATTATTGGGTCTGGTAAATTACGCCTTCTGTGGGCAGCTGTTTTTGTTTAATCATGCTACACGGAAAATATATGAAATATAGAAAAGGTTACCCACTCTGGAAATAGTACACACGACTGACAACACAACACCACAAAATAAAGTTTCGGCGTCTTTCAGATGGAAGTCGGTTGCCTAGCAACGGCCGAGCGACTCATCGTATCATAAATGATACGGTGGGCAGATCTGGGTTAAAAAAACGTAAAACATCACTGTATGAGATTAATAACGCGAAAGATATCAGAAATAATGACTTGTTCATGAACGCTCATGAACGTTCACGAACTGTTCGTGAGCAGAGAATTGTTCGTGAACATGTGACCTTGAATGAAGGAATTCGTAAGCTATCAAACAAACAAATAACCAAATGTTCACGAACTGAAACTGCTCACGAACAAACATACAAACACCCAACCCTGTTGTAATTATAAATTTATCGCGCCCCGCTGCAGGCTCCTGATTTCTCATTAGTCATTTTTATATGCTCAAGGTATATAAATATACTTCATTACCTACCTGCGGTTGCGTCTTCGTCAAAACAGCCCAGATTCGGGGCGCCTGGGATCCGCTTGAAACTCGAACATTAGGTAGACAGCCCAATTGGGATGGGGAAACGTAGCCCATTCGGCGTCCGCGTCACTCGTAGCCATTTGACCTACAGAGGTCATCAAAGGTCACGTCTTTCATACGTAGTAGAATGTAGCCCAACAACAGGAGCTAGAACGTTGAAACCGGCACCAAACGACTTGTTCTCCAATATCGAAGGTTCCATATTTTGTCATTCACGATCATAGCTTATCGATTTTCTGACAAGCAAAATGAGACATTTATCGGCGCGATGCGTACGTGAAACATGCCAACATCATTCCCAAAACCCGTCACGTTAAATCTAAAGAAATGTAGCTAAATCACAAGTTTATCCATTCGTAAAATTGTTGATGCAGGTGTTTGACTTCTACGACGCCTTAGGTATGTGGGTTCTCATTATTCCATGTTTGCAATCTATGCACACTTGTTCTTGCGAATGAGTTCTACCCCAAGCGCCGCAGGCACAAGAATATCGAACCTTGGGCTTATCTGATCTCGATATTACTATATCTGACTAGCCAGTTCAAATGTCTGATCCTCGCAAGATGGGCACGAGGATGTCGTCCATCATAGATGAAATGCCTGGCGACTACACATATCAGTGGGTAAAGTCACCTTTTTCAAATCAAAGCACGGTTCATAATGTCATTGTCAGGTAATGAAAACTCAAAACGACTTGCCAGGATTCTGACATTGCAAGGGCGGCAGTCGTTTTTCAGATTGTCGTTAAAGACAATCCAACCACTAACTGTTGTTTGTAGCCAGCTGGTGTGATGTCCGGGTAAACACAGAGGAAATTCCCCCGCCGAGCCCGCCTGGAAAGCTGCACCCGTTCCGGATTGCATCACTTTACTGAGGTGTGCGATTTTATACTACCCGCCAGTTAACTGAGTAATGAGTGGGAACCTGTCGGGTCTTTACCGTCGCTCTTCAACCAAAGTACCCACTGGGAGTGCCTCTCCGTCACTTGCCCCGTGCGAGGGTGTGGTCTCTGCTCTCCCTGCCTCGCCCGTCGAGGTCGTGCCCCGCGCGGGACTGGGTCACGCCTGCGTGGGGAGCCGGGATGTGTAACTGTAGACCCGCGTATGCGGCTGGCTGCCCCTGAGCCGCGCCCTTGGCACGGTGTGTGCCTTGTGCGTGTGCCCTGCTGAGCTGTGGGACTGCCGGGGCGGTCAAGGCCTCTCCGAGGGCGGGGCTGTGAGCGTGTGTGTGGGGGGAGGGAGGGGGGGGGGTGTTCTCTGGAACGGGAGGGATGTCCGCTGGCCACCGGAACTGATGCACTACCGCAGAGAAAGGAGATAGTGGGACCCCGCCGTCGGCAGCGGCCCGGCACCCGGGAAGTCGGAATGGCGTCTGTGAGAGCGGACCTTAGCAGGCTGAGCACAGATTGCTGTAGTCCTGTGCCTGAAGGTCCTCTTATAAGCATAAACCTGTCTTATGGGCTTACTGGTCTAATTTACTTGTGTGCCAAAGCCGGGATTTTCTTACTAATCCGTAATCTCATTACCCTAAAGCCTCATCATAGTCTGGTTACCGAGGTTACTGTTCTGTCTTTCACGCACTTCACGGTATTAAAGGCTAAATTAAAATAAATTGTTAAGTTTCCCTATCAAGCTGAGGTTTGGTGAGCCATTTGTTTGCACAAGCTCCGGCTGAGTGACCTTTCTTGGCCTCTGAAGGTCATAGTGCATTGGGCTGCATTTTGATAAACCCCCGTTTTCACGCCTTATTCTTTGTATCAAGACGTCCAGCTGCTCTGTGTCTCGAATCTTGCGGAATCGTTGTGTATTCGGGTTGAAGATGGTCGTCTTGGTGGAGTTCCTAGTCAGGCGTGTGAACCCCTCGCTGCATGGGTGTCGGCCCCACCCCCGCCGTGGTGGGACGGTGGCGCCACCGTCGTCAGGTGGGACCACCATCGGCCCACCGGGGGTGATGTCATCAGTGTGGTGACGTCATCCACGGCGGGGCGGGGCCTGGGTCGTCGGTTTCGACGCGGGCGCCGTCGGAGGCGGGTCGGGGTAGTCGGTGTGAGAGGAGGGAGGACGGAAGGTCGACTGAAGGTGGCCCAGGGCACCAGTGACGAGTGTTAGACCTGTGGGTACGCGAGAAGGTATGTCGTGCATGTAATGCGTCAAGGTGTCTAAGCATTGTACTGTTTCCTTATCCTGGTGTGAGGCAGATCTGTTGTTGGTGTAATATGCTCTGCGTCTGTGATAGTCTACTAAACTGCTGAGTCATTCATAGTGCGAGTTTTCTCGAGACGTTGGCACTGGATCCGAATCGCATCCGACAGTGACTTGATTGTGCGGCTGCGCTGGCATCGGTAGATGCTCTCTACATACTTGTGGCACTGCACTGGGCGAGTTTTTACATAAAGGCCGGTAGCTAGTGATAGTCGTGCCGTAGTTCATACTTTTGGGTGTTATAACGGCCTGTTTTGGACTCTTACCGTATTGGTGCATAAAACATCACTGGGTCACTCAGCTGCATCTGTAAAGAACAAACCTTTTCGTCATGCCTTTCATTGCATTGACGAAAAGACAAAGAATATCGATCAAAGTTACTTTTTAGCTGTTTAAATGAAAACGTTTCACTCCGAAGTAACAATGCTTGGACATAGGCATTTGCAGCGCGGTGCTGCATATCCGCTGTTTCATCAGGTGCACTTTGGGATTTCACCTGCGTTTCCCCCTATCGGCCTACCTTCTTGATAGTTGATACACCTTTATGGGAAGTTGCACCGCAGTGATTCATCGGCATGCATAGTTGACTTTGGTTACCATTGTTTCCACTTCATGCTACAAACCACATCTGTCAGCGGTTGGGCGTCGAACCTTCTCTAGTCAGCCACTTTCTTGTGATTGGTGGACCTCCTCGCTTGCTGTTCGGGCCGGCATTCGACCAGCAAACATTGCTCCGGTCGATATCTTTGATCGTTACCGATATGTGATTTGTGGTATATGGATAAAACACTTTATACGTAACCGCCGAAATTACCTACTTCTCTTTCATCCGAATTCGGAGTTGCCGTTGCCGTTACTTGTGTCTTGCCCTCCCCCGCCCCAGCGTTAATTTCCAAGTCCTACCCTACCTCACAAATAAAACGTTCTCATGACGCGGCTGGCACATAAAGCTTCTATTCATTCATCTACCTTGGTCCGTTCGTTGCTAGTTTTCCCACCTCCCATTATCCACACTGCGGCGCCAGCCGGTCTGCTTCTCAGAGAGTTCATTCCTGCACCGTGACTTTCCCGGCCGGACGGTGACGTCACGTCTCTGAGGCAGCCGGCCGGCGAGCCTGGGGGGCCGGGAGGGCGCCTATCGCGGCTCCGTGGCGACCGGGCCCGGCCGACGGCTCATTCTGTGCTGTGCTCTCCTGAGGTACGGGTGAGCCGACAGGGCCGGACGAGTGCCATCGGTCGGAGTAGGTCGGCTAGTGACAGGCGCCGTGTCGGATCTGGTAGTGTTAGCTGTTGGTTGTCTGTTCCACAGCTCGCTGCTTTTCTCGTGTTTCGGTGTGTGATACCGATTGAGTAGGGCTGCTTCATGTTTTCATGCACTTGTTTGTGCTGTGTCCGCTTTGTCCCGCGGCATTGATTTACGACGGACAGTTGTTGCAGCTTGACATCATGACCTTGGTTCGCCGGCTACCGGCCGGTGGTTATTTCCATCCCGGGAGGACGCGAACTTGGGAGACGGCCAACACGAGTAGGGTGCAGTGTGTACGGAACAGTGAATTGCTCTCGGCAGTGTAGACTGTAGATATCCTATTCAGCAGCATTCCAGTTTTGTCCTTCTGTCGCGCTGCAATGAATGAAATTAAAAAGGTGCAACAGCGAGCGGCCATAATGACAAACACTCAGAGGGTGTTGCAAGATTTACTAACAGTCGCAGTTGTAGCGATGATTGAGTAAACATGTATCAGTGTCGCAACATGCAAGCCTTCCGTAAGCTCGCGCCTGTTAACGTCACCGTTCGCCACCAGGCCGTAGCAAAGCACGCAGCGAATCGCTGCCATCGCCCCCGTATCCGTTTAGAACCAAAAACCGTCCACGGCTGTGTTTCCAAGACTGTTCCCCGCGATAACGCACTCCCACCCGTGCCCACGCAGTATATCCTGTAACGCAGGAGCAGGAAACACGCAGTGTTTCTTGAAGTGTCTCAGTGTTGCCTTGCTGGTAGCCAATCGCTCACCGCGGCCCGCAGTGACCTTACAGTGACCTGACGTGTTCCCTATCCCACAGGTCGAGCGGAGGTGCTGTTAACGGACGAGTGTCGGGTACCACACCAGTCAGAGACATGTCACAGGAGGTCACTCTGGATCGGCTGGGCCAGCGGCCCTTCCAAACCGCCTCTGGCGAAGCCATGTGCTCGAGCATGGTGCGCGGCATTGACCACCTGCGGGACCCCCGGCTCAACAAGGTGAGTTCACACGGCTGCGGACAGCTTGTCGATACGTATCTATAGGAGAGTGATTGACATTGTCGTTTTAGCTCGTCTACATAGCTCGCCTTTTTTGGAGGGGGCAATGCCGGCTGTGTTCTGCTCTGCCTCTGAAACATTGTTTTCGCGTTGTTCCAAAAGTCACCATGACTACGTCTCTGAGCAAGGCCACCAGCGGTTGGTAAATATTTACGGAGCGACTGTGGTCCATGGGCTTCGCGCTACGTCAGAATCTGGCGTAATCGATTTCCTTTTCGTCCCGGACTCGGCTTAGTGACTGATGTTACCAAGTCCCAAGGTGGAGATGTGGATAAGATATTTTATCTTTCGGTCTTCTTCGGTACAAAAATGACATTTTTAATGTCGGTATGCACTATGAAATAAGAACTGTTTGAACCCCTTTTCGACCACGAAAGATCTGGGATAATCCGTGACTTACAGCCATCGACTTTTTAGCTGGGTTTCTGCGTATTTAAATAGGTAACGGAAGTTTGTTGGAAAGCGAGCCCCATACGACAACTCTGGAAATTAATAAGTAAAACACTCCATGTCAGGCTGTGCCTTGGTCACGCCGACCCAGCCGCGATCCCACACGAACCCACTGCTATAACCCGGCCGGTCTCCAGCCGTGCACCAGGGGTCGGTCGGTCAAGGTGGCAGTAAGTCGCAAGGTGTGCTGGTTTTTGCACCCATTTGGTTTGTTTGTTTTCGGGCAGGGGTCAGATGTGATATACGACACAGCGGGTATGTGCCGTGTACCTACTGAGGTGGAATCCGGTTTGAACTCCGGGAGCATCCATGTGTTTCGAGAGTGTGCGAGTGCGATTTCAGTAATGTATAAAGACATTGCGGGGTACAGATAAGGATGCTTGCTGCGAGCCCTTACTTCGAGAAATTCAGTGAACAATCTAATAGAAAATTGTCGTTTATGCAGACTTTTTGGCCCGAGTAGGTACTATTAGATTGAAATTACTCGAAGCAGACCGAATTGGCTCTAAGGAGACCGAACTACTGAAAAGACGCGAGCCGTGTACTCAGTAACCCCGCCCAGCCCTGCGTCCGGTGGGCCTTGCTCTCCTGACCCTGCCCTGCCCTGTCCTTCGAGTAGGTACTGTTATCTAGTACCGCGAGTGTGTCATGCTTTGATAAAGACCGGACTGCTGTCGTGCGGCAGATTTGTTATCGCTCACAGCTCTGGGTCCATTAATATCGAGACATTGCATCATACACCGGCAGTCTACAATGCCCAGCGCTTAGTAACTGGGGAGACTTATCCCAAGTATTGTATGTGACGTTGTCAAAAGCGTTCAATATGCTACCATGACAACCGAGCCATACGGTAGTATTGATTTGTATTTGGTTTAGTTCTCTCTTATTTGTATTCTTTTATCTACATAGTTTGGAAAAAAATTGTGGGTAGGCATTGTGATGAAAATTATTTATGTACTTTTTCTTTTTTAGGGCGGGCATTTGTCGTTTTTCACTGACGCTCGCATACTCTGCCGTCATTCCGCCAATTTACCGTCGAGTTGCCCTCCTATATTCTGCTTACGCGACAGTATCTGACCCAGTGCCTCCTTCTTAGTTTGGTTTTAAATCTTTCCTGACGCTGTCCCGATAAACAGTCGTCGGTGACCCTTGTCTGCTGACGACGCGTGCGTCTGGTAAGGGTAGATTCGATCGAGAGCAGGCCACCGGGGCAGAAGGACAAGGTCGGTCACACCCCTGACAGAACGGGAGGCGTGGAGGGGTGTGTCGCGGTGGAGACCGCCCCTTCACGCTATTCACTTAGTATTTCTGGGTTATGCAGCATACGGGCGAAAATTTAGGCATATGACGATTGTTCTACATGCCTAGTTATGCGAATATGAGATATAGCATATGACAAAGCCATATCTGGACGTGGACACACGGACAGTTTCCGCTTTCACCATTCACTATAATTGGGTCAAGATCTGCGCCTGTTTGCCGTTTACCGGCGCCGTTTCCCGTTCCCAGAGTGCCTGTAGCGGTAAGAGGGAGGTAGGAAATTTACCGAGGGGGGGTACTGCCGCGCGGCAACGGGGCTGATGCCTGGCGTCACTGGGGATTATGTAAGGAACAGCCACGGAAATCTTGGAACGGCTGTGTTGACTCAGTGCAACCAAGGTCGCGGCGCTGGCGGCTGCCAGCGGGACACTAAGGGCTTCTACGTAGCAGCCTCCTACCTGGGAAAAGGGAAGGAGGAACCAATGTCCCAGTAGGAAGTTCAATTTCAGTGCCGCCAATTCGATACATTTCATTGCTGTTTCGTCATCAGCGGTGTTACAACTGTTGAAATATCACGGCCATTTAATTAACCCGCGCCCGGCTGGGGGTCCTGGATTTCCACGCCCTGCTGGGGGGGGGGGGTGTCTGAACACCCCCCCCCTTCTAACTCGGCTCCTGGGCCACGTAGCGATACGCGGAAGGCGGCGTTCGAAAGACCGCCAAAAATAATGACGAAATCACTTCGGTCAATTTTTTGGTCAGGTCAAAGGTGAGGTCACCAGAGGTCATTGAAAGCAAAATTTTGCCGATTTCCAGGTCGAATGTCAACAATTTCCAAGAAGCCAACGCATAACTCGGGAACCAATAGAGCTACAGCGCCGCGGAAAAGCGCATTCGATAGCCCTATTAACGCCCTTTCTGAGTAAGTCTCTAAGATTTGACCTAACGTCAACGGTTTTGCCTGCAGGGGGCAAAAACTGCAAAAATAGCCGATTTTTTCGGAAACAGTTTTTCTGCAATAACTTTTCACCCAAGCCTTGTACGAGCATACTTTTGCCGGCATCGTGTTCCTCTCGTCAAGACGCATCGAATGACTTGACCTTGAAAGGTCAACTTAAAAATTTGACCTCAGGTCAAGGTCATGACCTGACCGGAAAGGGTCATGTTGAATATCAGTCGATCCGTATCGTCGATCTGAACACATCTAAGGCGTTTTCATCGCTCTAGCATGCCTTTATCAAAAGTTTTTGCGAAAAACTGTTAGATACCATTCGTGACCTAAGATGACCTCAGGGGCATAAACAGGGGTCACAGACACCATTTTCATGTTCAGTGTGTCTAAACCACTTGTTATTCAGTGTTTGGGAGTGTTTATAATGTCATTTGTCTAAAAGTGGCGCATTTCAATTTTCTCCCATTGACTTATAATGGGGAGGTCGCAAAATTGACCTGACCTTAGGTCATCGATATCAAAATTCTGAGATATACGTTTTGTACAGGCTATTGCTCTTAGCAATCGCTAAAAGTTTCAAAGCGATCGGTCACTCGGTGTAGCTATGGCAGACATTGAAACTTTTTATGAGGTGAGGTCACTTCAAGTGACCTGGTGACCTGACCTTGAATGACCTTGGTCTGAAATTTTCACAACATGTGTAGAATTGATGTATGATACGGTGTACCAAAAACGGCGGCGCTCCGCGTCGCCGTTTTTGAGATGTTCGCGAAAAACCACAAGGGAGGGTGTTCAAACACCCCCCCAGCAGGGCGCGGGTTAATGAGTAAAACGCCGTGTCAGTATCACTAAGCACGACACCAAAGTGCTGCTCTGGCACCTGTGCCATTTCAGACCGTCTCCGGGAGTGTCTGGTTTACCAGCTGTAGATCACCGGTGCCTATTAGTTGATAGACCAGACAAATACCGCTGCTGTCCGGTCCGACCGACCTGTCCGGTATTTGGCACGGGAAATTCGCGCCGACTCTCCAATGTCCATATGACTTGTAAGCCGGCTTTTGGTGTGCTTTTCTTGTAACCTAAACCAGCCGTATAAGTTTCGGAATATTTTCTGCTTGCACGCCCTATTGAATATTCAGTCTCATATCTTATTTTGAATTCATGGAGGCGGCATATATTCGGACAGGGTGGCTCAATTTAAGCTTAGTTATCTCTGACTGCTTAGGAACAGACAGTTAAAATGTCCCGCTGTTCTACGTGGCGAACTTCTTGGAACCGCTAGCATAGCATTTCTGCAAAGACGGTCTTTACCCTTGTAGTGAGGTCGGATCCAGTACAAAAGGTTCTTGTGTGGGGCCGCCAGGGCGTACGCGTCTTTAGCGCCATTCAAGTGCATGGATACATAAGAGGATAAAAATATTTCGTTTTTTTCCAAAGAGATGACAATTTATTTTGAAACTATGCATGCAGCGACTCAAGCATGCATTGGCGGTTGCGGGAAGGAGACAAAATTAGTTGGTCCTATCTGCATGCTGCGATCGCACGAAAGAACGATGTTAAGTGACGCATAGGCGGCGGAACGGGGAGGGCACCGGGGCACCGTGCCCCCCTTTGATTTGGGCATTTTAACATTAGCCCTATGGGCGTTGCATGGAAAAAATGGGATGGGACCAAAAGTTGGCAGTGCCCCTCCTTAACTGAAGGTGTTCCGCCGCTACTGAAGTGAACACTTTCCCATCCCTTCAAAAATGAAACATCGATACAATGTGCTAAAGCTTCGTTTGAGTTTTATTGAAGCTTCGTATGAGTTAACGCTTGTGTTGGCGTTGGCCACCGTGGCTCAGCCACGAATGCTCACAGCTCACAGTCTGCAACTCTGCCGCTCGCAATGTCCGACCGACGGGGGCGGAATCCGCCGCACCCAGCCATTTCCGCTTCCGATCTCTGCCGTCCGCTCTGCGGTCCGTTCGCCGTACAGTGACGTCATAGCGTACCAGTGATGACGTCATACGTTAAACGGGCTCTCCCGAGGGTAACCACCGCTGCCGTGTACTCCGCTCTAAAGCGAGTTTCACAACGTCAAGGCCTGTGTGCCACCTGCACTCAGCTGGGCAAACCATACCGTCATGATGACGCCCATGTCGTCATCGACGAGTCATCTTGGTCCCTTCGTCGTGGTGACGGGCAGTTAACGCACTCAGGCGTCATCAGTGAAAACTATTGACTTTCGTCAGCCGGTACCTACTGGAGTGTCACGCACAATGACTCGGAATATATGAGGTATATAATTTGCATATCTTATCAAGTCTCTGGGTTTTACAAAAATGACTGCTTTAGCGCACCAACTAGCAGTCCTTTTAACCTTGTCTGAATGGCCAACGAGTGAACGTGCTATTCATTGAATCTCTAATTTAAGTTTTTATTAATTGCTTTTTACTGATGAAATCGCAATTATAGGTAGTGTTCTCGCTGGAACTATAGCCTTAAAACCTTATAAGAACGTCTTGCAGGAAACAGATTGAGATAGAATATCTGTAAGAATATTTGAAATAACGAGAACACCAGAACGTAATATACCGTGGCATTTCGAGGACATCCTTCTTATCAGTACCGTTTTAAACTGATTTCTCGCACCCACATATGTCTCATCTAATGCTTATCTAGCCGCATTCTGCGGTTGTGAATCTCCATTTTACATGATTATGAATGAATAACTGACCTTTAATAAGTTATGACGTCAAAGACCCGCGTAAAACCCCCGGCGGCGTTAGTATTAACGGTTTCTTCAAAATCGCTGCACTGCACCGGCCGGCGCCGCCAGCTGACGGGGGATCGGTGCTGATACACTGTAAACCAAATTGACAAGTCTTGTGTAATATAACCAATCATCTCTTGGTATGTTTACCAACTGATACTTTTCAAACAAGCCGTTGTCTGGTGCATTGCTTGTCAGATGACAACTACGAGTCAATAGTTACTATGCACACCAACTTCTCAGTATCCAGACCAACTCTACATTTGTTTCAACGTTTGTTTCTTAACCAGTTTTGGAAACTTGTTGCCGCATGGTTATTTAACCGGCGCCTAACTTGTACTGGTCAGCTGGTCAGCATACACATGGTCAGCTGCGCCCGTGACGTCAGACTTGGCGGACCAATCAGCGGTCGCCGTCCGGCCCCGGCGCGGCGGTTTCAAAACGTTCAAACCAGCAGTTGTCGCGCGGCCGCCGTGCAGCATGGATCAGCGACGAGGGCTGTTCCAGCATTTGTGCAGTAAAAAGTGAAATATGTGAACTGTGGTGTTCGTGCTGTGAGTGAGGCCCGCTCTGGCCTGCGGGACGCACTAATCGTGCCTATACCCGCGGTCGAGACGCCTCCCTTCCCCTGCGCGCGCAATGTAAGTGGGCCAGACCTTTGCATGCACATGTGAGCAGATGTTTTGCGGTCGGTGTTTTTTATATATAAATACATTTATTTGCCTTTAATTCAACTCTTTGTATTTTTAACTTAACTGATGGACATATATGGGCTGTAAAAGCTAATCTGGTTGGCGATCATGCTTTATTCGAATTATCTGCGTGATCGTGCAACTGCCATGATTGTTATGGTCAATGTGGAAATATTCGTCATACGGGCATGTTATACTTCTGGCTTGATGCGATGCACAAAACCATGTTCTTCCACATACGCAGCAGTTCTTGCTTCAAAGACTTATATGCTGACGGTGCACGATAGGTTATACCTTATACCTCATGCATTTACCACATCCATTCGAAAATATGCACTTGGAATTGTCTCCAGTCAATAGTATTAATTACATACTACGTGATGTAGGTACGTGACCGTAATAAATACTAATGATTCCAGAAACTTCCGAATGGATGTGGTGTATGCATTCATCGATTATATAACCCATCAGTATTTCGTTTCTTGTCAGCGCAAGCCTTTGAGCAATAACTGATGCCAGTCATGATTTTGTGCACCACTTCCAGCCAAAAAATGCTGTCCGTATAGAAAATATTTCCTGAATCAGTATCGTGGCAATTGAAAACGAACGCGAATCGTAAGTTCTTAAGGTTATCAACGCAAACAAAGCGATTGTAAGGAAGAACAAGTTCGAACTGAGCGTTAGTACACTTACTTGTTGACAATTTGTAAACTAGCAATGCCCAGTCAAAGGCTAGTTCATCAACAAACCAGGGGTTGTTGAACCGACAAGGAAACGGCTATGCCTATCCAGAAGTTGGTAGGTTCACAAGGCCCAGACTAGTACTCAACAAGGTGACGCCTATGCGAATTGGAACCAAACTTGTAGACAAACTGTTAGTTTGTTGGCCAACACGCCTGGGGTTGGTGAATCGACAAGGTGACGCCTATGCGAATTGGAACCAAACTTGTAGACAAACTGTTAGTTTGTTGGCCAACAAGCCTGGGGCTGGTGAATCGACAAGGTGACGCCTATGCGAATTGGAACCAAACTTGTAGACAAACTGTTAGTTTGTTAGCCAACAAGCCTGGGGCTGGTGAATCGACAAGGTGACGCCTATGCGAATTGGAACCAAACTTGTAACAAGGAGCCAACTTGTAGATTTGGTTTACAGTGTAGGTCCTGAGTTGATTTCAGTTACGGCCGTTTTGTAAAGCCAGCTCAGTGGCAAAATTGGTTTGACATGGGTCTGATTCCGAGTTCTACCGACCGACCAATGCCGGCATGGGGTTCAGTCCGACCGTGCTGAGACCGGGCCGGGTGCCAGACAGTGAGCGTCGACCGCCTCTGACTGTGCCAACCGGCCCACCGCCCGACCCACCGACCGACGACCGACCGGCCAGACTGGCTGTCAGTTGGCACGGCCCACAAACGAGCTGCAGGTGACAGGAACGGCAGGATGTCGCAGGAACTAAGCGGGGATTTCCATCGGGGTAGGCAGAGAAACCATCCAGAAACCGGGAGGAAATTACATAGAGGCATTTTGCGGGGCGTTGAGAAGGCATTGTAGCAAATAACGTGAGATAACTAACGAATCCTAACGAATTTAAATACTCGGCAGTCAGCAGGCACCGCAATGGGATTTCTGACGGATACACACCTCAAGCGGTGATGGCGGCTGGGTGGGTGACATGCGAGTCTAGTCCTGACAGCCTTGGAGGGATGCCAGTAGTTTTGGCAGGCTGTATACACAGCTGTAAACAAATAAGGGAGAATCACATAGGGATAAACACTGGCGGATCCAGAAAGGCGGTCTTTGATGCTCCGGGAGGGGGCGAGGCATAGAAGCTTTTCAGGCTTCTCCAAATTCAGAACTATTCTCGGATGCAATCTCAGCTTCTCAGCGACGCATATTGCATGCACCAACTTAAAATCTGCACGACTGCGCTATTGCTGTGAAAACAGCTCATATACTCGCCTTGTTTTCGCCGTAAGTGCGTTCAATCCCATCTCACTGGCACGATATTTTCCTATCAGAGCCCGGTCCTCCAAAACAGCCGTGCCTTGTGTGCGTGCCTCGTGTGCCGCTGTGTCCGCCCGGCCGTGGTGACGGTCAGTCACGAGCGTCACGGTGACGTCACGACTCGTGAAGGAGGCGTGACGCTGTTCGTGACGCCGCCGTCCGTGACGGCGTGATGCCATAGACCTGACGCCGTGATCGGCACCGTTATGCACCTGTCCGCCGGATAAAATAAAAACATGCACGTACATAGACGGTACAAGGCTTACATGTGGATACATGTGACTTTACCTATATACTTGCATAGTGCATAGATAACATGATTCATCTTATCTGTGATACCTGCAATAGGAATTCTGAGTAGAAACACACTACATCCGCAGCATTACAAATTTTGTAATTTCCTAACACCTTTATCCGTTGATTTGCGTGCAACGTTGGTCGGCATCGTAGGTATTCGTTTGTGCGACCGTATAATCGCAAATTCAACGTTATGAATTCATCAGCCTCGTGACACGACTCCGACAGACTCACTCACGAGTCACGACTGCCTCCCTTTACCTACCCATGTGTCTGTAACCCCCACCGTTTCTGACGTGTTGTGACCGCCGCTCGGCAGGGCATGGCGTTCACTCTGGAGGAGCGACAGCGGCTCGGCATTCACGGCCTGCTGCCGCCGCGCTTCAAAACTCAGGAGCAGCAGGTGGCCCTCTGTATGCGTAACGTGGCGCGATACGACGAAAACCTCAACAAGTATATCTACCTGATGGGACTGCAGGTGAGCCGCAGAAGATCACTCATTCATTTGTTCATTCATGCATTCATTCATTCATTCATTCATTCATTCATTCATTCATTTAATTCTTGTATTTCATTCATTTTCCTTTTTCAATTTAACCCTTCCATTTCACTTATTTCTTTCATTTCATTCATTCATTTATTCATTCATTTTATTTATGTTAATTTTCCGCTGAGAACACAACTCACAAAGTGCATGCTCAAAGGGTCGACCGGCAAATGACGACTCGCAGCTCAATCTAAGGCGCCTACCCGATGAAGAACCGCCAATTCAAGCGAAGGTCACTTTTGGAAACTGAAAGCCAACCTCCCGATGTGGCTCAAGTGGATGCAAGAGAGGGCGGTATCAGTCGAGAGGAGGGTCGATGGTGCTCGGTTCAGGGTCAAGAGGGTAAAAATAATGGGACGCGTTGGAGAAAGTCGAGTGCTCACCATGATTTGTGCACGAGGCACTCCGCAGATCGTGACGATTCCAACCGTGAACGGCTAATTTCCGTTCGTTGCTGATCTTAGCCTGGGTGATTTTTTTACCAGTGAGCGTTAAAGTAATGCGATCAAATGCCATGAGCATGCTTAGCATGAATGGTCGACCCGGCGACCGATCGGCTCTCGACATGGTTCGTGAGCGGGCGAATTTGATTAGATCGATGCCGTTTCTCTGCGGTGACCTCAATGTCCAGGTGACGGACGCTAATCGAATTGTACCTGGCGAACCACGTGAGGTGAGGCAGGTTGATTCCGTTGCCGATAGTCACGCTGCCGCTCTCAATGAAGTACCGTGATAGCGCCTTGCCTTATCGCTCGGAAGTCGGATCTGTCGTCAGCTTTTGAAGTTGATTCAGTAAGTCAAGGTCTCCGCATTTATTGGGATCACGCCGGAAGAGCCGTCGGCTTGCTGAGCTCAGGACCTGAGCTTGAAGGTTCCTCGTTAACGACTCGATTGACTCTAGCACGTTTTCGTCCGCGCTTTCGTCCTCAATAGCTCTTGATCGTTCCGTTTTTGGTCGGATCAATGGAAGAAAATCAATGTCATTTGGGCAACTTTTCTGTGACAGAAGGTATTCGAGAGAGGCGGCAGTTTGACTGTCACAGTTCTCAGTGCGGCATACGAGTAGGTATGGTGGCATTTTGTCTTCCAGCGGGTTCCCGGTGACTCAGCCTCACATACCTATTTGGACTGTACGATCACAATATAGTAGTTGGTATTGTATTATGTAGTGAAAATCATAGATTCTATTTCGCATCGCACGTAGTTGGATCGTCATTCAAAATCAAATGAGAACTAAGATGTGCACGGATGTCATATTTTTTACGCCATTAAAGTTTTATCTGCCCTGTCTCGTGTGTGTCCGTGCGTATGTGTTGCTGTTTCTCCTCGTCCTCATACGTCTTCCTTCGTTCGCCAGGACCGCAACGAGCGCCTGTTCTACCGCCTGCTCGCGGAGAACGTCGAACAGATGATGCCGCTCGTGTACACGCCGACCGTCGGGCTGGCCTGCCAGAAGTTTGGGCTCATCTACCGGCGCGACCGCGGCCTCTTCATCAGCATACACGACAAGGGACACATCTACGAAATTCTGAAAAACTGGTACGTAGCGGGTGTGTATGAGAAGGGCAGGCTGGCTCACTTCCAGCCGTGCCGTCCCAGGGGTGTGTTAGTGTTACACAGCTGTGCTAACTGCTGATCAGACTAATGGACAAGTGTTTGCGCACTGACCTTGCCGTGGGTTGTTTGTCGGCGATGGGGAGGTGTTTGGGGGGAAGTGTTGGCCCTCGATGACCGTGATACGTGATATCCAGTCTGGACCAGATAGAAACCTTTTGGGGAGATAACGTTGGAGATGTGCCACGCTGGGTCTGAGATGGCATTGCGTATGGAAGAGAATTGTTTTCGTTTGCTGACGCCAAGTGATAAGTTTTTTTTTGTAAGACTCCGCTTACAAATTGTTGGAGATTAGTATTGCAATAATGTTTGTATTCCAAACATTGCCCTTCCTGCCGCACCGGAGGCAACAACTGCTAGGAAATATAAACAAGTTGTGCACATCCTGCAGGACGAGTGAAATTAACTCATGCTGTGTTATAATAAACTAACTCTTCGTTTTCTCAACGGTCGAAGTCGCCAGCGCCCGACACACATAAAACTGACCTGACTTGACCTGACCTAATTCCCGTCTGACCTTACCCATCTGACTGTCTGACCGGAGTACTGACCCGACCTGACCTGCATGTCTGCTCCGTCTGACCGAAGTTATGGCATAACTTGTGTGGCTCTGACCAATCTTATCAGAGGTCTGACCTGACCGACCCCGTCTGACCGTCTGACCGGATTAGTGACCTAACCTGACCTGACCTGTCTCCGCCCTTTCTGACCGTCAGGCCGGAGCAGGACGTCCGGGCCATCGTGGTGACGGACGGAGAGCGAATCCTCGGCCTGGGAGACCTGGGTGCCCAGGGTATGGGCATCCCGGTGGGGAAGCTGTCGCTGTACACCGCGCTGGCTGGCATTAAACCCAGCCAGTGTCTGCCCATCACGCTGGACGTGGGCACCAACAATCAGGTGAGACAGCGTTCTGGTTACGCCAGATAAACGATGATTTGTTCGACGGCTTTGTTGGACTTACCTATCAACATTAATTTTACACACGGAAATAGGTCCATATCATTTTTTTACTGATAGTGATGAAAGCAAATTATAGCTAAAATAAAAGCAGTAGTCTTCTTCGGCGCATAGGAAAAATGCAATGCTATGATTGGCTGAGCGTCATTGAATGACCGACAGTAGACGGCAAAGAGGGAAAGACCGATTTGCACCTTTCCCTGTGAGCCAAATACTCGTATGAAGGCCGCGGCCGGCGAATGACATTACATTTGAGTTGGACATTTCCCTAGGGGAAGCGGAACTTTCCTGGCCGGCTGTCCATTTATCAAGATATCTTTCTAGTTGAGGTTTATTTGCCATTGGGTCTACAGTGCAGGGATATTTCTATCTCGCACTCCTCTGAGATGCAAAGATAAGAATTTGTTATATCTGCATCCCTCTGAGATGCAAAGATAAGGTCTCGAGGGTTCATAGCGAAAAATCAAGAGTTCATGTGATGATGGGTCAATAACCGAACGACATTTTTAATGGTTGTTTACGGATGAAACTTATGAAATAAGAACAAAGTACTCTGAATCTATTTTTACATAGATGAATGCATTTAAATATAATATTTTATTAATTAAGAATAAACCTCAACATAGAAAGATATAGGATTCCTCATGGCTCACTCGTGGAAGATTGGATATCTTTTCCTCGCGTGTTACAGAAAAACCTCGCTCCTTCGTCGCTCGGTTTTTCAGTAACCCGCTTGGAAAAGATATCCTTATCTTCCACTCGGAGCCATGAAGAATCCTCTATGTCTCATCAGCTGGAGGGTGCCGTTATTCACGTTTCTTCCGATGTGTTTCAAATTGCACTGCATTCTTGTTTACCTCGACTTTTTCCACCGGTTGAAAATTTGCTGAACAGCATTATCATTGTGAAAGCCGACCATGTGTCTCTGTCGGCTGAGCGGCCTGGTCCCGGCTGTTACCATGCCGCAGATGAGTACCAGCTTATGTAGTATGTTATCTTATTTTTTTTTCCGTGTCAGAGGTGCGGGGGCCTACCGGCTTATTTGCTCTCCTGATCTGAGGCCTATAGCAGAACAATATTCACCAACTGTTTGTTGTTTCACAGAGTCTTCTGGATGACGAGGACTACATAGGGCTGCGGCACAAGCGTGTCACCGGAGCCGAGTACGACGACTTCATTGACGAGTTCATGCAGGCCGTGGTGAAGCGCTACGGCCAGAACACGCTGATTCAGGTGCGAGCGGGGGTGGTAGCGGGACAGGAGGCCGCGGTCGGTACTGAGCGGGTGGCTGTGCATTAGGAAGGGCGTGGGCGTTCGGCTGGATGGAGCGGCTGGACCCGTAGACGAGCGAGGTCCTGAAATGTGGACACAGTACGCGACGCCAAAAAAGTCAGTGAATTTTTTATGTGCCCTTCACGGTTCTGTAGCCTTCCGGGCGCTGATCGTCGTCAAACGTTCGCATTTCGTATGCGGCCTCGCATTAAAAAAAAAGAACACGACTATGGTGCAAAATTCAAGTTGTCTCCCGGATACTCATTTTTATATTACTCGCTTATCACGCCACTCCTCCATCTTTCAGTTTGAGGACTTTGGCAACCACAACGCGTTCCGCTTCCTGGAGAAGTACCGCAACAAGTACTGCACGTTCAACGACGACATCCAGGGCACAGCGTCGGTGGCTGTCGGCGGCATGCTGGCCGCCATGAGGAAGCTGAAGACGAAGCTGTCTGAACACACCTTTCTCTTCCTCGGAGCCGGAGAGGTGAGCGCGGATGACTGGTAAAAGGTGCGAGCACTAGATCGACTCTTAACTTCAATTTCAACTGACCCATGCTTGTTACGCGTAGAAGGAAATGAGTTGGACTGGTGCGTGCTGTTGGAAACTGGGGGTTGACGCTGGTTTGTTTGATATGTGCCTATTTTTATATTTACTTGGAAGGCATTTTGAAACACTTTTCTGGAAACTTTTGTGACCTTTGAGTACTGCCGTACTTGTTCTAAACAAGTCTAAATAGCTACAGTCCAGCTCCGACTAGCTGCAATCCTGGTGCACAATTGACCAGTGGCCAGGAACGCTACGAGCTCACCGGTATTCAATGTATCTCCCAGGCGGCTCTGGGTATCGCCGGCCTCTGCGTCATGGCCATGATGAAGGAAGGTCTCTCCTCTGAGGAGGCGCACAAGAGGATCTTCATGATCGACTCGCGTGGTCTGATCGTCAAGAACCGTCCGGCCGGCGGTGTGGTGGGCCACAAGATCGAGTTCGCGCAGGACATGCCGCCCATGAAGGAGATTGCAGAAGTGGTGGACAGGGTGCGGCCCACCGCCCTCATCGGTGAGTACATACATGGAGGACGGAGGTGCAGGGGCGGAGAGGAAGGTGGGCAGTGGCTGGACGGAAGTGTTTGTGCTTGTAGAGGGCAAGCGTTTTGAAGGAGCATATGGTGATCTGTTGGATCTGGTAGACGTATGTTTCAGGTTGAATAAGATCCGTAGCACGTTCTTTTTAAAGTGGTTGACAGGATACGACCCAGTACACTTGACTGTAGTCAAGTCACACAATGCCATACGTAAGTAGGTATATTTACGTATGACATTGAGAGCCTCTGAAATTCCGCTCGAGCTCATTTTTTATCCCAACTGGTATTGTGCTCAGAACTAACGACGGCCGATGTTGGTCTGTTTCAGGCGCCGCCGCCCAGTCGGGAGCGTTCACTCCCGAAATTCTGAAAAAGATGGGCGAAATCAACAAGGAGCCCATCATCTTCGCGCTGAGCAACCCGACCAGCAAGGCCGAGTGTACGGCGCAGCAAGCGTACGAGGCGACAGAGGTGGGTGCCGCAGGGTCGGACGGTGATTTTAAATCTGACTCGGACGGTACTAATGCCTGTGTGAGAGGCAGGGTCTATCAGAGCGAAGACGATCGTGTTTTTCAATGTAGTAGAAACTCGTTGGTTGATTGCCGACTTCAGCGTTTGAGAACATCATTGTTCTGACATATATCGAACATTTGCCTGAACTTCATCGTATATTTTGTTGGCTGTTTAGCACGTCGCATATTCTTACGTCGTTGATTGCAGTTACATATCTCACTTCTTATAAACGTATGCTCCTGTAATTAATCATGTGCTTCATCCGTATCATTCTCTCATGAGACCGAATCGTTAATGTATGGAATTAACGATTTACGTATCGATTTACGCGACTATTGATTTTCGCCGCAGGGCCGCGCCATTTTCGCCTCGGGCTCTCCGTTCGACCCGGTGACGATCAACGGTAAGACGCTGTACCCTGGCCAGGGTAACAACGCCTACATCTTCCCGGGCGTCTCGCTGGGAGTCATCTGCACGGGCATGCACCACATCAGCGAGGAGGTGTTCCTCTACAGCGCCGAGGTAGGTGATGCAGGGAGGGAGAGTGGGGGTCAAAGTGGGGATAGATGGCGAGAAATGCATGTGAACCTATGCATTACTTGCCATGCTCGGAAAGATTCTGTCAATTTTGAATAAAGAGGTCTACCCAAGTGTCGTTCACGTATGCTTGATGACTGCGACAGTGATTCACTACGACATCACTATGACATCACACGGTGTGACCGGCTGTAATTGTGTCTGTATTTATCGTTCCTCTCTTTTTCCTGTCGACTCCACCAGGTGCTTTCTGAGGTGGTGATGGGCTGTTTCGGAGACCGTGTCTGTTGAGGTTGACCGTGTCTTCTCCTCTCCATACGCTGTCTGAGTTGTTGATATCGTGTCTTTTTCACCCCCCCCCCCAGGCGCTGTCTGAGATGGTGACTGACGAGGATCTGGCCCAGGGCCGGCTCTACCCCCCGCTCAGCTCCATTCAGGAGGTGTCCATCAAGATCGCCGTCCAGCTGGCTGAGCACGCCTACAAAACCGGTGAGACTCGCGACGGTGTGACTAACATATGGAGTCTGAATAGAGTTGGGTGGGCAGGCTGAGATGGTCGTATACCTTTCAGCATTACGATGGTTACTGTTTGTTGGACACAGCTGATCGTAGGATGTTCTTGTGAGTCAGTCGTTGAATAAGCATACAAAGCACAGGTTTCTATCCAAACAGAGAGTAGTTTAATGGCACAGGTCACGGGACAAATAGACCAACTAAACGAGCGGAAAAGGATTGTTGACGCTAAGTAGAAATGTACAATTTTGCAAAAGCGGAGCTTCTCTTCTAAAGGTTTCTATCTGTAAGATATATGTGCGAATATCACCCAAGAATCAGCACTCCGGAGCACACATACCTCGGTACTGTCCGTAACACTCCCTGAATTAGCGCTCCGGAGCCCACGTGACACGTCTACACCGTGTTCCTGAGCCTTCATCTGAGTCCGTTCGCGCGCTGACGGCCCTGTTTCAGGCACCGCCTCTACCTACCCTCGTCCGACCGATGTGGAGGCGTTTGTGCGCGCTCAGCTGTACGACCCGCGCTACGGCAGCGCCATACCGCAGGCGTACGCGTGGCCGTCTAACCTGTAGGATCTCCGGCCGCTGGCGAGGTTTGTCGCCTGCACGGAATCCCTCGCACGCTAGAGCTCCAGCACCGCTCGCTCGCACTCCACAGCCTCTCCGGATGGTCTCCCGGCCGCCGGGAGGTGCTGTCACCTGGTTCTGGCCTGGCGAGGAAGCCGGTGGTCACCGAAAGATTTCCGGCTGACCGCGGCTCGTGTGGCGTCCTGCTCTTCTCTAGCGCTAGTTATGTGTCTTCTGTGTGTCGTGTTGTCATCTCTCTTGGTTTTTGGCTGAACTAGAAGCACCCATTTCCAGAGGTCGTCATCGGTTCTGCGCATCTCCGCACCACGCACCACGGCTTTCACTTGCAGTGCGCTTTTCTGTCGGCTAGAATTTCTACCTTCCAGCGCTAGATAGTTGTCCGTCCATAGGTGTGTACTGAGTGGCGTGCCAACTTCGGAGCTCCGTTTGAGGTGGAATCAGGAGCCGTTGTGTGTCACTAACACTGAACCTCCACACTCCACAGCACTGTCCATCCGGTGGAAGACCCGTCCACGGTAGAGGATTTGTGGAAATTATCACCCATGTTTGTGGAATGATTTACATAATCGTTGGCTATGGTGTGATACTAACTTTAATTGTGTCAACGGGATGTATTTTTAAACAGATTGTTGCCGGTTGCCTTTTGGGGTCAGTCATTGGCAGGTCGAAGGCTTTCACGCCTGTCAGGCATGTGACGCGAGCTGTCATCGTTGCGCTGTGGATATGTTAAAACTTAACCCGCGCACCGACGGGGGGGGGGCGGATATCCGCCCCCCCCTGAGGTTTTTCGCGAATAGCGGGAAAACCGCGGCGCGTAGCGCCGCGAAATTTGGTATGACTATTCCGTTATCAATTTTACACTTGGTGTGCAAGTTTGAACCTCCTACCTTTCAAGGTCAGGTCACCAGGTCACTTTGAATGACCCAACCTCAAGTCACTTTTTTGCAACTTTGTCACCGTGCCAGAGCTACAGTAGATGTCGGAGGCCTTTAAAAGTCGCAGGATGTTATTAGGTCATTAGTAGCTACAATTTGTATATCTCGGAATTTTGATATCGGTGACCTAAGGTCAGGTCAATTTCGCGACCTCCCCATTATAAGTCAATGGGGGAAAAATCAACTCCCTGTTTTTACCACTAAAACGGGTCGGAATGGCCCCATATACCATACATGACTTCATATACGATCAAACTTCACTACCTTGAGGTCTGTTTTGCTGTTGGGCAGCTGTGAGGTCATGTGACGTCATCAAAGGTCACCAAAGGTTTTTGGCCAATAACTCCGTACAGGAACAAGATACAGACGCGTGGATGGTCTCATTGTGTTCAGCTCGTCAAGACGCATCGAATGATATACATGATGACCTCGAGGTCACGTGACCTGAGGTCAACCTTTGACCTTGACCTTTCGAGGTCAACATATATATCATTCGATGCGGATTGACGAGAGGATCACGATGATGCCCTTAGTTTGTTCCTATCTTGACTAATTCGAAAGTTATTCGAGAAAAACTCTCCATATTTAGCGCCGCCATTTTGACTTTTTCGACCCCTGTGACGTCATCTTTGACCTGACCTGAAAATGACCTTAGTAAAAATTGTAGATCTTGACCGTGCGTATCCGATGCCGTTTACCGCTTGTCGCTATCTTGCTTCGTTCTCGAGATCTCAGGGGGGGGGGGGCGGTCATCCGCCCCCCCCCCCCGTCGGTACTAAGTTGGCGCAGACCCCCGTCGGTGCGCGGGTTAAAGCGTTGAATGGTAAAAAGGCACGGTTTGGTCAGGAAGTCAACATTATGCACAGGAAGTATCTCACATGTGACATACCGTGCAGCTGATCGTACCGTCCCATTGGTCCCTCAAGGCTTGTGTGTGACCTCTGACCCCGCCTGGCAGGCATCGCGTCCCTGTACCCGGAGCCCAAGGACAAGGCGGCCTTCATCAGGGCCCAGCTGTATGACTACCACTACACGAGTCCGCTGTGTGCCACCTGGGAGTGGAAGAGCCCCGAGGACCACAACGGGGCCGTGTGAGCTCACCGTGCTGCCATCTGACGAACAAAAGGACAACTGTAACCTGACGGTGCGGCCGCCGAGCGGCAGCACACGGGGACTGTGTTCCTGAACCGGAGTGAGATTTGCTGACGAATGATGGTGAGAGTGGGACAACTGACTGGATGTAGAGTGCGAAGCGAGCAGTGCTGAGTGGGAGACTCCCAGCAACAACCGACGCTGGTTACTGGTAATGGTGGGACGTGTCAATGTTTACTGGAGCCATAGGATGGAATATATTTTACCGTCACCTTCACGACGGTCAAAGCGTTACGAATTACGATCATGCCCCTTTTGAAGCTCGTTTAACCCGCGCCCGGCTGGGGGTCCTGGATTTCCACGCCCTGCTGGGGGGGGGGGGGTGTTTGAACACCCCCCTTCTAACTCGGCTCCTGGGCCACGTAGCGATACGTGGAAGGCAGCGTTCGAAAGAGCGTCAAAAATAATGAGGAAATCAATTCGGTCAATTTTTTGGTCAGGTCAAAGGTCAGGTCACCAGAGGTCATTGAAGGCAAAATTTCGCTGATTTCCAGGTCGAATGTCGACAATTTCCAAGAAGCCAACGCATAACTCGGGAACCAATTGAGCTACAGCGCCGCGGAAAAGCGCATTCGATAGCCCTATTAACGCCCTTTCTGAGTATTTCTCTCAGATTTGACCTAACGTCAACGGTTTTGCCTGCAGGGGGCAAAAACTGCAAAAATAGCCGATTTTTTCGAAAACAGTTTTTCTGCAATAACTTTTGACCCAAGCCTTGTGCGAGCTTACTTTTACCGGCATCGTGTTCCTCTCGTCAAGACGCATCGAATGAACTATAACTTGACCTTGAAAGGTCAACTTGAAAATTTGACCTCAGGTTAACCCGCGCCCTGGTGTGGGTCTGAGCCACCTTCGCCCTGGTGGGGGGGGGCCAAAATGACCCCCCCGTCTAACTCGAAAACGAAGAGGGCTAGGAAGACGCGGAAAAAAGCAAACGAAAGCCCATAACAAGTACGTTCGAAAGTATTACGGTCATTTTTTCGCTAAGGTCAATATTGAGGTCGCTAGAGGTCATCATAGGTCAAATTTCAGTGTTTTCGGTGTTGCCGGACATATTCCGCTGTAGCTCGGAAACTAGACGAGCTAGAGAGCCGCGGAAAAAAGCAATCGATAGCTCTTTTCAAGCTCTTTCGCCAAGGTTCGTCAGATTTGACCTCAGCTCAACGGTTTGGCCTACAGAGGTCATGCAAGGTCAACTTGGCAAATTTCGTTGAAAATGTTTTTAACTATAGCATGCATTCACGAGAAAATAGAGAAACGATTCATGCACCATCGTGCTTGGCTCGTCGAGACGCGTCGAATGATATATAGTTTGACCTCGAAAGGTCATTTTGAAAATTTGACCTCAGGTCAAGGTCATGACCTTACCGAAATAGGTCATGCTGCATATCATTCGATCCGCATTGACGAGACAAACACGATAAACGTCGAACGGAGTCTCTATCTCTATTCAATAACAAGTAAGTGCAGAAAAACCGCTGGTGACCTCTGGTGACCAGGGAGATGACCTAGCGTGACCTCAGCGAGGTCACAAGCAAATGGTTTCACATGGGCTGTGATTTGCTGACCCAAGACACTTCAATAACGAAATATAGGAACAATCACGCCCGATTTAGCTGAAAAACAACTACTTTTCGATTCTCCCATTGACTTATAATGGGGAGCAGCGATGACCTGACCTGACCTTAGGTCACATTTATAAAAAATCCGAGATAGCCATTTTGTAGAGCTGGGTGAAATCTTCAAGTACTGTAAATTTTACATCGATCGGATAAAAGCTGTGCCTTTGAGAGAGCTTTGAACTTTTTTAGAGGTGGTGTCAGTTTTGGTGACCTTGTGACCTGACCTGACCTGACCCGAACCCGCCAAAAAAGGACATGATGTAAAAATGTTGAATAAACAGCTATACAAAGTTTCAGGGCGCTAACTCAAGTGGTTTCTGAGTTATCGCTGAAAAACCACAGGGGGGGGTCAAAATGGCCCCCCCCCACCAGGGCGAAGGTTAAGGTCATGACCTGACCGGAAAGGGTCATGTTGTATATCAGTCGATCCGTATCGTCGAGCTGAACACATCTAAGGCGTTTTCATCGCTCTAGCATGCCTCTATCAAAAGTTATTTGCGAAAAACTGTTAGATACCATTCGTGACCTTAGTTGACCTCAGGGCATAAACAGGGGTCACGGACACCATATTCATGTTCAGTGTGTCTAAACCACTTGTAATTCAGTGTTTGGGAGTGTTTATAATGTCATTCGTCCAAAAGAGGCGCATTTCAATTTTCTCCCATTGACTTATAATGGGGAGGTCGCAAAATTGACCTGACCTTAGGTCATCGATATAAAAATTCTGAGATATACATTTTGTACATGCTATTGCTCTTAGCAATCGCTGAAAGTTTCAAAGCGATCGGTCACTCGGTGTAGCTATGACAGACATTGAAACTTTTTATGAGGTGAGGTCACTTCAAGTAACCTGGTGACCTGACCTTGAATGACCTTGGTCTGAAATTTTCACAAGATGTATAGAATTGATGTATGATAAGGTGTACCAAAAACGGTGGCGCGTAGCGCCGCCGTTTTTGAGATATTCGCGAAAAACCACAAGGGGGGTGTTCAAACACCCCCCCCCCCCAGCAGGGCGCGGGTTAAGAGTGATCTTCTTTCAAGTTTCAACTGAGATGGATTTCTCTTTGTACTTTATCTTAATTTAAGTTGGTTGAAGGTGTATTTTTAAAATTGTACTCATAATATATTATCGTAAGCGCGTCCCCTCGTAGTGGTGGCATGTATGTTTTGCTCGAGCTGCGATTATAGCATATTATCGTGGTGTTAACTGACTGAAATGTAAATTTGTTGGTTGTACATGATGAGCAATACATGAGAGATGAGTCATATTGCGACACATCTGAGCGAATTGCAAGTATTTGTGGCGTCAGCCGACTTTATCAGTGGCGCAGCCAGGATTTCATTTCGGGGGGGTCATCGCCTCCAAAGCGGGCCCCCTAGTGTGCGGGCCCCCCACCCATTTTTCAGAATCTCTCCATATTTTATATACATTCTGCTGGGCGGGCCCCCTTTATCTGCACGATAACCCTTGAGCGAGTTTGAATCGGAAAGTTTTGATAGAACAAAAGCTCGGTAATCACCCGGTGTGTCATCAATGGGTTAATTTCCACGCAAATTGACCACGACAGAAATATAGGTAGGTACTGTTACTATGAAGTATGAATTTGTATCTTCCGAGGCCAAAATGTACGCCTTCCGCAATATGCATAGCATATATGCAAACGGAGCTGTTATCTGCTTCTGTCGGACAATATATGATATATGTACTTTTTAGTCCCATGTGCCTGTCATAAAGTCATCTATTGGCTGCTGTAATACCTAGATTGTGTCATTATTCTTCTTCATTACGTGAATTCGCTCACAAGAAATTTTAACGCGCTCATATGGGACATTTATTGCCTTTGGCCGGGTTTGTTGTGGTGTGGTAATGTGGTGATGTAGATTCTGTCTGTTACCGAGGTTCCGGCATGGTGTTACTCCATGGTGTTACTTAGCGCGGGGTGCAGGCCTGCAGACTGTTGCACCTAGCGCGCTGAAATTTGCGCAACTTATAGAACAAGGTTTGACAACGTGCCTTCTAGGGGTCTCAGTTCGATCGGGACGAAGTGAGCACATGGCGCGTGCCCAAAAAGTGCAAATTCGCGTCATATGCTTTACGTGTATAAGTCGGCTTGCAAAATCGGGCGAAAATGGTTAAATTTGCCCGACACGGGTCCGGTCCCCGTGCAATATCTCGGTAACCGTGGATCCGATCGGCACGGGGAACACAGTATCGTGTAGTGAATCGAACGGGCTATCGAATGATGTGCGATGCAGGGAACGGCACGCGCCACGTGCACCTGTGAGGCACTTTTGCTTAAAAATTGACGTTTCAGACGGATTTTGGATCTTATACCATTTTCGGGTGACTGTCAGACGGGGCGAACTCAAACAACACCTATAGGCAAGAGAAATGTACCGCCTCTCATGAAACAAAATGTGAAAAGCTAATTGATCAAAAACAAGGTGGAACAAAGGCTGGAGAACATAGTACCTATTTGTCCATGATGTGCCACTTGCTTAATTGCATGGGTTTTGCTGCATAACCTGATACGAAAATGGCATCGAATTGGAAAGAGCATTAAATTTTGTCCAAGATCTAATCATCGCTTTTGCAAGACGAGCAACAGCATTTAAAAAGATAAATGTTTCAAACCTCTACATGGCAATTCATCGCTAGCTTTCATTTTTCAATAACCTACGTCAACCTATGTTATAAAATACACTTGACATGTTCGATTGTAGAACGCACGCTTATCTGACACGGGCACCTTGATGCGATGGATATTTTTCCCAAACCAAAATGTTTAACCGTCAAAAAGCAATCGACCGAAATGGATACATAGCTCACGGAGACAAGACCAACCAAACGCCTACCGATAAAAAATACCCCTTATCCGCGTTGCGGAGCAAGCGGGTCACCCTAGCGGCCCAATCCACCCGGGGGCCTGGGACCCATCCACACGGGCCCGGGCCCCGTCCACCAGAGGGCCCGGGTCCCGTTCTCCCAGGGGTCCGGGCCCCGTTCTCCCGGGGGTCCGGGCCCCGTTCTCCCGGGGGCACGAGCCCCGTTCTCCCGGGGGCCCGGGCTCCGTCCACCCGGGGCTCCGGGGCCCATCCACCAGGGGCCCGGGCCCCGTTCACCCGGGGCCCGGGTCCAATCCACCCGGGGGCCCGAGCCCCGGGGCTCCATCCACTCGGGGCCCGGGCCCGTTCTCCCGGGCCCGGGCCCACCCACCGGGGCCCGGGCTCAATCCACCCGGGGCCCGGGCTCCGTCTACCCGGGGCCCGGGCCCCCGAAGGCCCGGGCCCCGTTCTCCCGGGGGGCCGGGCTCCATCCACCCGGGGCTTGGGCCCGTTCCCCCGGGGGCCCGGGCTCCATCCACCCGGGGGCCCAGGCCCCATCTACCCGTGGGCTCGGGCCCCATCTACCCGGGGGCCCGGGCCCCGTTCTCCCGGGGGCCGGGCTCCATCCACCCGGGGCTTGGGCCCGTTCTGCCGGGGGCCCGGGCCCATCCACGGGGGGCCCGGGCTCCATCCATCCGGGGGCCCGGGCCCCAACTTCCCGGGGGCCCGGGCCCCATCCACCCGGGGCCCGGGCCCCCGTCCACCTGAGGGCCCGGGTCCCGTTCTCCCAGGGGTCCGGGCCCCGTTCTCCCTGGCTCCGTCCACCCGGGGATCCGGGCCCCGTTCTCCCAGGGACCCGGGCCCCGTTCTCCCGGGGCTCGGGTCCAATCCAACCGGGGGCCCGGGCCCGGGCCCATCCACCGGGGGCCCGGGCTCAATCCACTCGGGGGCCCGGGCTCCGTCCAACCGGGGCCCGGGCCCCGTTCTCCCGGGGAGTCGGGCTCCATCCACCCGGGGCCCGGGCCCGGGCTCCATCCACCCGGGGCCCGGGCCCGGGCTCAATCCACCCGGGGCCCGGGCCCCATCTACCCGGAGCCCGGGCCCCTTGCACCTGGGGCCCATGGACCATCACCCGTGGTGTCCCAGTAGGCATTTCTCGAAGCGGGCTCGTCCGATTAGATTAGGACCTCTCTCCTCCCTAGCCCTCCCTCCCTCCCTCCCTCCCTCCCTCCCCCTCTCTCTCTCTCTCTCTCTCTCTCTCTCTCTCTCTCTCTCTCTCTCTCGCTATCCCAGAGCGGGCCCCTGACAGAAATTTCGGGGGGGTCAGCTGACCCTCTGACCCCCCCCTGGCTGCGCCACTGGACTTTATTAATAATGGTTCCAACTAATAATGGTTACGATTAGTGATGTCAATGACGGAAAATCGGCATACCGATACCAAACCAAATACCAACAATATCCATGGAAAAATACCGAAACCAAACCGGCTTGGGAATATGAGGAAAATACCAACTTTTTACCAAATTCTCAGCCTCTTTAACATTAGTGAGGATTCATAATACCAACAAAATACCAAATTCACTCGCCTTGAAATACCAAATACCAAGTTGGTATCGGTTTGGTATCGGTATACCAAAAAGTTGGTATCCGATTGACATCTCTAGTTACGATCGATTATGGCCGGTCAGAGTCGTGTCCTGGCAGTACCAGCACTGACTGTTGGCTGGCGACAGTGGACTGGGGCGACAGCTCAGAGGGTATCGATGGGGAGAGTTCGGGGACGGGGCGCAGCGTTTGCCGCGCATCCAGCAGAAAAGTACGCTGCAGACGACGAGCGGATGACAGCCTGGCGCCTCTCACGGTAAATAGAAAATCACCCGTCGGCTGTCCGTTCTAAGGCATAAGAAGCACTGCCCAGGCATGGGTGGAGCTTTTCCGGGGAAGATGGTGGGGCAAAAAGTCGTCAAACCCACAATGTCCGATTATGAAGTTGAATAAAATGCCACACTGAATCAATTCCTATCATTACAGACATATTATTTTGCATTAAACAGACATTCCAAAGCTTTTCAATGCGAAAAAGATTAACCCGGCAGGCGGTGGGCCCACCAGCCACCTTCCGCGCGGTGGGGGGGGGGGCACTTTTTTGCCCCCCCCCCCGTATCTCCGAAACTACTGGACGGATCCGGAAAATTCAAACGGCGTTCGATAGCCCTGTCAAATTTGTCGAAGGAAACCAAATTTCATTGACCTCGGGGTCACCGATGACGTCACAGGTCAGGTCAAAGATAAAATGTTTCACCGTTCACGGGGCTTCTAGGGAAAGCGCTATAACACCGAGTAAAACGCATTTTGTCGAAAATCAGCGATAAGGCGTCAGTTGTCTAGTACATATGTTGCTATTAGAGGTCACTGGTCATACCAGGTCAGGTCACAGGTCAGGTCACCAAAGGTCACCAAGGGGATCACCACATGAGCCCAACTTTACTAAGGTTATGCGATGCATGTTTTATGGCCAGTTTTTCATTTCCAACTCAATGGTGTTGGTTATAAGACCATCAGGTACGGTTTGGGTCACTTTCTGGTGGAGGTCAGGTCAAGGTCAGGTAAAAAAAGGTCAAATTTCAAAGTTGATATTTATGCATAAAATGGGTATCGATTCGATGCAGCTCGTCACGGGGAGTCTAATGGTGGTCTTTGTTTTGCGCTACGAGGTCTAGAATTGCTAAAAATTGAGTTTGAAAATTTGACGTCATCAATTTTGAACAGTTTTTTCGCTATAACTTGGCCAAACAAAGAGCTATCGATCTCAAATTTGGTATGTAGATAGAAGGCGGTAGGGGCTATCACATATATTCCGGTTTTCTCGAAATTCAAAAAACTTTTTGGATTTTTTGGCTATTATATTCAAAAAATCTATTTTTTAATTTTTGGGGGTCAAAATCCAAAAAATCCGAAAAACCGAAATAGCAGTTTTGTAGGCCTTTTAATTTTACACCTTTTATGTCTGAAACATTTTTCTGTATCTCTAAAGCTGTAGGCCTGACAGCTCTTCCCGCGAAACCTTTTTTTGGGTCGAAAATGGCAAAAATGACGTCACTCTGACGTCATTAGCGGCCAACCTATCATAGCCTTTGGAAAAAATTTTGGTCACCATGTGCGCTAGCTGCTCCCGGGAGGGTACTGAAAGTTTGGTGACGATCGGCGCAGCGGTTCTCGAGATATATCGAAAAAAACTAAAGGGGGGGGGGGGCAAAAAATTGCCCCCCCCCCACCGCCTGGAAGGTTAATTTGCAAAGCAACAAAGTCTTAGAAATCAGCTAAAGTTGGTGGGGCAAAACGTTTATTGGCGGGGCAAGATACCAAGTTGGTGGGGCAGCCGCCCCACCAACTGTATTATACTGTATAGGAAGCTCCGCCCCTGTGCCCAGGTGCAGTGCGGTCGGTGCTTGTTAGTCGTTTG